TACTCGCATACATACTTACATACATATATGTAAATGGGTATATAAAATAGCAATGCGAGTCATTACAACATTTATTTGCATTATAAAAATTTAATTTTCCCTCTAATATATTATTTCAACAAATTTTATCAAATAAATTGCATCGCTAAGGTAAACAGACAGCCCGAGCAGCTTACCGACGCCCACATGGGCCAACTAGATAGCTGCTGGTGCTGTAGAAATGCCTGGGAATGCAAGGAAATGCACGTGTGTGTGTACGTGTGTGCACGTATGCCAATTGAAATATTGCAATTGTATTAGTTTGACAAGTGCATGTATCTGCTTTGTTGCTTTGTTGCTTCGTATGTATTGTATGTATTTACGTTTCCGCGTTTATGCTTATCAGATGGCAACGCTGCTCGTGTTATGTCACGCAATTGTTTGTTAACAATTTACATACACATACAAACAAACAGACATACACATACATACATGCGATGTACATACATATATACCTATGCAATTAATTTCCACAAACTGCACATATTTGCATATTTCTCATTTCTCATTTAATCAAAATTTTGATTTCCAAAATTTCCAATTCAATTTGCAGTTGCCAAGGCGACGGACCAATTGTCTCGGCTGCGATAGTTGTTAGTGGTTGAGGCTCCTGTAACATAGTATATAAGTACATACATACATATGTATGTATATACTTCCACATAACTTAACAGCGCATAGTGTTGGCAAGTGTATGTATGTATGTATGTTTATATGTATGGGTGTAATGTAAAATGAAATGTACCTGCCGCTGCTTGCAACTGTTGTTGTTGTTGCATGATGTTGCAAGTGACATTAACTGCTTGGATGCATGTTGTTGCAACATTATAAATAAATCAAAATACAATTTCTCAGAAATTGTGATTTCATATCCCAGCATCTCAACGTCGTACTTGTTGCAGTTGTTGTTGTTGTTGTTGTTGTGGTCGTTCAGCGAGCATCCTAGCCCAGCGCCCACTGTCAACCCAAACAGGCAATAGGTGGCAAATGCGTTGAGTAGAGGCCTTTGGAGTGGATACCAGTAAAGAGACACTGGCGATAATAAATGCGGCCTTGTTTTATTTATTTTAAATAAAAATGATTTTTTGCTAGTATTTTATTTTGTTACATTTTTTTTATAAATATTAAACCTTAACCAAGATTAGCCAAACTTTTAAAACTTTACTTTTATACAATTTTTCATACCAACATAATTTTTTTTTAAGCAATAAATGTGCAGCAAACTTTGAAAACCGTGCGGTCATATTTTAGGCTTCTCTTCATGTAACTTAACCTGGAACTTGCTGTGCCTCATCCCTCCTCTGCCCCAGGGAATGTGGCTCGTTGACAATCTAGTATATGAGACTGATTATATTGCCGCGATCGCCATGGGCAGGAAAAGATAGTAGTCACTTGGTGCCAGGTACGGACTATAATGTGGGTGCATTAGGACCTCCCATCCGAGCTTCTGGAGCTTCTGGCGCGTCACCAAAGACATGTGTGGCCTGGCGTTGTGCTGATGGAACACAATTCGGCCTCTGTTGATCAAAGATGGCTTCTTCTGGATGAGTGCTGCCTTCAAGCGGCCCAGTTGTTGGCAGTAGAGCGCCGAATTGAGCGTTTGACCATACGGGAGCAACTCGTAGTAGATGATTCCTTGCCAATCCCACCAAACACACAGCAAAACCTGGCGCATCTTAGACATCGAAATTACCGGAACGGAACCTAGCAAACCACTTTTGTGCTACACGTTCGTTTACAGTATCGGGCCCAATGCTGACTCATTATAATTTTGAAGTCCCTTACACATAGGCACACTCTGTTTTTGACCTTATTTCTGGCTCTATTGATTGCACAGAACTTCTTGAAGAGATTGGCTTCAATGTTTCTCGAAAACTCCCCAGTTCTAATTATTCATTTGATGTCAAAACAGTCAAGTCGAATTATTTTAACTTGGTTCCATATCAAGATGTGCTTTTCAATGTAAAATAGAGTTTCATTATTCTTAAGCTCTCCTCGGTTTTCTGTCTCTGAGGATTTGTTATCAGAGAAAATTTTTCTGAAAACAGGCTTAAAGCAAAGTAAAAAGTTAAATTAGAGTTTTTCCGGCTCAAAATCAAGCTGCAGAAGGTGCTAAAGTGGCAACACTGGTGACAAGCCATAAATCACTAATTAAGTACAATAGATTTTCATAGGCTGCTCTTGGGACCAAATCTACAGCAGCCAAATCATTCGTCATAGACGGGAACAGATGAAAATCACTTGGTCCCAGGTCCGTACTATATGTAGGATGCATTAGAATATTCTAACGCACTTCTGGCTAGACACTATCGATGTATGCCATATGGCGTTGTCCTGACAAAGCACAATTCACCTTCTGTTGGCCAAAGCTGGGGGCTTCTGGAAGCTTCCTTCCTTCAGACGTTTAAATAGCTGACAGTGCAGGTTTGATTTGAAAGTTTGGCCTTAGGGGAGTATCTCATAGTGGAGCCAAAACTTTGTCAAAACCACTAAACACACAAAAAAATACCTTCTTGGCCATTTTTCCTAGCTTGGAGACCATTTGAGCTCACTACTCTGCAACGATAACCCTTTCCGTTTGACGTTGCTGTAAGTGATTCACTTTTCATCAAAATTCACCATACGCTACACAGAGGATTCATTTTGGCACGATTCAGCAGTTATTCGCAATTGGAAATACGGTATAGGAGGGTTTTTCTCATCAACTCATACATCGAGCTTCTTCCGTCCAGTGAAAGGCATGAAAATATTTAGAGAAAACTCAAGCGGGACTCTTATTATGATCGTCAGTGTATTGTCTGAGCATGTACATATATAAATACAACATGTATGTATGAACACAAGTCAACATAGAGAGTAACGAGTATCGCCAAATGCAGCAGCAACAGCAACAACAGCAAGAGCAACGCTAATAGCAATGACATAAGAGCCTAAGTTTGCATTGAACGCATTGCAGTTGCAGCAAATGCATCTAGCTATGTATATGTGTATATATGTGTACAGATATGTATATTTAATGCATTCATTTGAGCATGTGGCAAGTTGGCGTGTATCCTGTGCAATTATTTTGAACTGAAATTCGTATTTTGCAAATCGTTCAAATGTATCAGCAGCAGCAAAATGTTGTGTTGTTGATATGTTTTTTCCCCCTCTTGTTTGTTTTACTTTGTTGTGATTGTTGCTGTTGTCGTTGTTGTTAATGTAGTAACTACTACAACACTAACTTGTGACATGTAAAATTGTTAGTTGCATGAACTAACTTACTACCTGCCGGCGCATGCAAGCGACTATTTTGCATGTGAATACTAAACTCATATATATATATATATAAATATATAATATGCAAGTACATACATGTGTGTATGTACGTGTACTATATATATTGCTAAACTCCTATATGGAGTGGAGCTGGTGGAAAATGCTCAAATATGCATAGAGGATTTTCGAGGAAATTCCTCCCTTTCAGCACCCGGAAAAGATGGCGGACACGAACCTACTTTTAGGTGTTGGAAAAACATTCCATCTTACGATTTTGAGAAGTTTTGATATGAGTCTTTCGTCATTAATCCCCAAAGGGCAAATTGAACAAGTTGATGTGGAAATGAAGAGTTAAGTATAGTAAAGACCGGAAGGTTCAGTGGAGTCATTCCGAGATATGAAGGGTTCGCTGAAGCTTAATTTCAACGTCAGTTCACTTATGGTGCAGCTGCGAGCGGGCGTCTGCCTTAGTGCAAGCGGTTCTTAACATAAATGTGACGCCTAGCGGGGATCTTCGCTGGGCTTGGGAGCCGCAAAAAAGAAACCAATTCCAATAAAAAAAAGAAAACTCTACTAACGTCATCAAACCAAGAGTAATTTCATTCACTCCCACGTCCATGTTGATGGTCATAACTCACTTTGGAACCCGTAATAACGCCAACAAAGTCAGCCTTGAAATCCAACGCATAGTTATTCTTGCCAAGAGGTTCTACTTCGGACTGTGTAGGCAATTAAAAAGTAAAATTCTCTCTCTAAAAACAAAAACCGAGCTCTACAAGTCGATCATCATACCCGTCTTACAATATTGCGCGGAGATTAATAGTCCTTTGGGTATTGGCTACGGCGAGTACCGCAGCCGATGGAATTATGAGCTATACGATATATATAGCGATATTACATAGTAATATAAAAGCGGGGAATTGAAACTAACTAAGAAGGCCTCTTGAGTGTGCGCTGAGAGTTGAGTCGAGCGCGTTGTACTCGTCGCGAAAATGGAAAAACGAAATCAAGAGCAACTCGTCGCGAAAAAATTTTGCACCGAAAACGTACGCTAAAACTGTAAAAAATATTGTTGGTTTTTAATGAGACTCGGAAACCAAACGCCAAAACTCACAAAGGTTGCCTCCGCATGCTCCCCGCCTCCCGTTAAAAGCTCGCATGAGCAAGTCGATGGTGAAAGGATGATTTATTCTCGAAAGCTTGCGAAAACGAGTCAACAGGGTACGCCCAGACATCGCTCTGTCTGCCACACCGCCCTCAACGTGTCCTAGTATTTGGTATCTAAAGGGATCGCCGTGTTGCAGCAACCGCTTTATTCGTCCGATATGTCACACTGTGACTTTTTATTCCCTAGAACAAATTCGGTGTTCAAAATAGCCAATTTTGAGTCGATTGAGGACATCCAGACGGCCGTGACGAAGGCACACGCTGACATCCTAGTCGAAGCGTCCAGAAATGTTACGAAACATGGAAAACGCGCGCGAAGGGGATGACAGAGTTATAAAATAATTTTGAGTTATACGGTTCTTATGGAACCAGTCTCATTAGTTAATTGTCACAACTCGTATAAAGTATCGAAACATTAATAGCCGGAGCCGCTGGTTTTCGTATATATCAATACTTACGCATTATCAAACAGTTCACAAGAAGATACCAATTAATTCGTCAGATCTTTCCATTATTTCTTAGGCATGCAATTTAATTCATTTCATTTATTCACCACAAACTATTGATTTTACATAACATTTCTCTAATTTTCACAGGCGCTCAACAAACAGCAAACATTTTCTAGTTTATACCTCCGAGTCCTCCTCATCTTCCTGCAGCCGACGACGATTGTTTGCGCCAGCGTTTCGTGCTATCCGATTGCAACAATTTGGTAGACACTCCTCCTCCTTCAGGAAACTGAACAATTGTAGTAGCAATATCAGAAACACCAACAACAAAATGACCAAAGTGAGTACATCTCGCGTCGTGAAGTAGGGATGAATGCCACTGATATCAGTCATTGCCGCTGCTGGACCGTCACTCGAAGCAACAAAATCACTTACTGAGCTGGCTGTGGATGCATAACGATGATGTGTTGCAGCTTTATCGGGCGACGACGGCGAGTTGGAGTTCAATGTCGTGTCGAGGGTAATGCCATTGTTGGAAGCGAAACGCACTGGCAGTTGAATATTACGCTCTTGCAGATATGAGTACATTTTGCGCATATAACGGTATTCCCACTCATTCTCAAACATGCCGAATTCCTTGAGATATTCATGTGCGGCGACAAATTTCTCATAGCCGAAGGCATGCAAGCGATTACCTTCGATATAGAGTTTCTCCAGGTTAACCAACGCTTCAAAGACGCGTTGATCCAGACTGAGCAAATTGTTGAAAGCCAAATCGAGATGTGTTAGTTTCTGTAGCATTAGGAAATTCTCCAAAGTTAGATTCTGTAGCTTATTCGTGGCCAAATTCAAATGCACCAAATTCGGCAGCGGCAAGTAGAGCGGTGAATTGGAGGTGCTCAGTGTGCGCAGCTGATTGCGTGACACATCCAGACGTTGCAAATTCAACAGACCCATCGCACACTCCAGCGTCTCCAGACGATTGCCATGTAAATCCAGTTCTCGCACGCTGAGTTTATCGTCTATCTTCAAGGAGTTAAGTAAATTGTTGCCCGCGTGCACCTTAATGACAGATCCCTCGATAAGGATACTTTGCAACGTGCTACCCTGCACCAAAAGTGTATCGACCGACTGCAAACGCAACGCATCCACATTAGCACTGCTGCTGATGTCGAGTAGATGCAAGTGCGGCAAGTGAGCCAAAGCATTCGACTCGAAGACGGAGAATCTATTATCGCCCAACAACAGTGTTTGCAGCTTTACATTGTGCGCAAATGTCAACGCATCGATTTTCTCAATATTGTTCGAGCTCAAATCTATATGCTCCAAATTGATGAGCTCATCAAACAATGTAGCGGGCAGCTCGCGTATATCGTTTTGTTGTAAGTCCAGATAGCGCAGCTTCTCCAAGCCGTCAAATGCATTCTTGTGCACCATAAAAATCATATTGTGCCCGAGTTGTAAATTTTCAAGTTCATACAGTGACACGAAAGCTTTCTCGGGCACATCGCTGATGCGATTCCTTTGCAGCACTAGAGCACGCAACGGCAGGCCGGAGGGGTAATCGAAGACTGTCAGTCGTTTGAGCTCACAATTATGCATGGTGAATGAGCGTAGTGTGGGCGCTTCTGCAAGGAGTGCTCTCGGTATGCGTGGTATTATCGAATCGCGTAGTATAAGTTCCGAGAGTTGTAGTCCTGTAGTCTTTGGTACGATCAGTGGATCTTGTAGAGTGACAGTTATGTTGGACAGTGTGCAATAGTAGATTTGATGGTTGTCACAATGCTCGGTGAGGTTCAGTGTGTACGCCTGGGCGCTGGGCCAGACAACAAATTGCAGAGCGATGAACGCGCTGAGGATTGCTTGGTGAAGTTGACACATTTTTGTAACTAAATCGCTAAATCGCCACTGTTTTTTTTTTGCAAATTATATAACAAATATTATGGGATGTAATTTTTTTTATTTTTGTTTGAAATATTTTCACAAAATTTGCCTTATTAATCGTAAAACTTTGCTGCTCTAGATCAATTTCAAATGTATAATCAAATGATTGAATTTAGTAGCTTCTCCACTCACAAGACGGCTTGAATTGAATTTTTAGAGAATACAAAAGCGATTTGTTTACATTTAAGTCGTGATCTCAGCTGTGTGTACGTCTTCTTATCAGCGGCGTAATGAGCAGCACAGAAGCTTTTGTGATAAGAAACACTTCATTCTATGCTTTGACTTTTGAGCAATACTGAGTTTATCCCCCAGCCATTACTCACTTATTGAAGAGAATGAAGCTGGAGAGCAAACAAGATTGTGGACAATTCACATGTACATATTTACTGAGAGCGCAGCTGTAATTTTATTTTAATTTAATTTATTTTTATCAATAATAAAGTGTCTCAGCTGCAAGTCATTATTTTGACAAAAATATTCAGAGATTCTTGTGTTCTAAAAAAATAACAATTTTTACGAAACAAAACAAAAATTTTCGTTAAAGATATATTAGTACAATATGTATATATATTTTGAGGTTAGATTGCGCTAATTGGAATTGAAGTCGGCGCAGCGAAGAGTGTCAATGCTTTGTGAAAAATTTGAAAAGATTTTGATATAGATACACTTCAGATGCCTAAATCGCTTTGCCAGAAAAAGCTGGGCCGCAAAAGAGTAGGAGTTTCCGCGTCTCTCTTATGTCTGCCTCTCTACACTTTCGATTTGTGTCACTGCTTATGCTCCAACTACCCATCTTACATACCGCACAGCCATAACACCCGACTGTGATAGAATACACAAACACGAATATTTTCTGTGGGACAACCGTCAGTAACGGCATGGGCAAGCGGTAACAACTTTTCATTTACATGACGCTCTCATAAGACAGGTTGCTATGGACGGAAGGTATGTAAGATGGGTAGTTGTGGCATTAAAATGAATCTATTCTGCTCTACTTCTTTTCACTCTATAAGCCCACAACTGTCCTGCAGAGGGTTTTCCTTCACGCTGTATTTGCACTTGATCTTGTCAACATTTACAGTTACAAAAGTAATACTTCAAAGTTTTTAGAAAAAAAAACTTATGGTCAGCTTTAAGCACGAATTTCGAATTCGATTCAAGTTAAAGCTTAATGCTGAGGATATGTATATATATGTATGTATATGTATAAATTATCAATGATTCCGTCACATCTTAAAAGCTTTTTTGTAATATTAAAAACAAAGCGAAAAGTGATTCACAATATATGTATATATATATATATATATATATGCATGTATCTATGTATATACATATATATTTATATATTACAAGATAAGACATTTCAGTTGCTATAAAGAAAAGTATTGTAAGTCCACTTTTAGAAATATATAGAAACGACTGATGAGCGTGGGGCAAGTATATCAAATGATCAAATATATCAAGAAAGAAGAATTGTCTTCGGTCATGTCCAAGTCTTTATACTTTTCATGACCATATCCAATTTCTTCTTTTTAGGACTAAATTTTATTTCTTAAATCGTTTTTTGCTAGCAAGACGGATGACAGTTGAGGCATTGTCATCAGCTATTTCGTTGCTCATAATGCTCCTTTGAAATGGTATCTAGTATATATGCCGTTATTAGCTCTGTATGTCCGACGATCTATATTCAGGAACAGATGGTAATCACTTGGCACGACGTCTGGACTTAAACTGGATGCATATGAACCTTCCAAACAAAGCACTCGGAGCTTCCAGCTAGTCTGGCTATCGATCTGTATGATCTGATTTTGCCCTGATGAAGCTAACTTTCTCCCCTATTGACCAAAACTGGGCGCTTCAGGGCGACTGCTTCTCTCAGACGCTGCAATTGCTGACGATACCAGCCCGAAATAATAGTTTGGCCGTAGGGAAACAGCGTAGTGGATGAATTCTTGTCAGTCCCACAAGACACACGACAAAACCTACCTAGCCGTTAATCTGGCTTGGAGACCGTTTGTGCCGCCTTACTGTTCTGCGACCACGATCGTTTTCGTTTGAAATTGCTGCGAGTGATCCGCCTATCACTACTGTAGACGTACTACGTTCAACTCGCTGGTCACATGCTCAAGCGCCATCTGCAGGCATTAGTAGCAAGGATTTAACGAAGAGCTTTGAGTGCTGCTGGTGGAGTAAATTTTTAAACGAAATTAACTAGAATGAAATGGCGATATATTTTTGCATACACACGTCTCTTCAAATTACCCTGGTCCGACAAAAATTGGGTCCTTAGCAATCGGATTCATTGCACACACTCTTCGCAGCTTTTCTCATCGCATAAAGAAATTGCGAGAAAAATAAATGCCGAAAATGCTGAAAACAAACTGACCACTTTTAATAATGGACATTTCAATGCAGCTGCAGATGTTTGCTTCCATTTGGCCGACCCTAACATCGTGTTGCAACCATATTTCCATTACCAGTACAGAGCGTGGCATCAGTATGTGGCACGTTGTAAGTGTATAAACTGCAATGTAAGAATATATAAGTTACGTTGTAACAAATTGACAAATTAAATGAACTTATGATTTCACACCATAATAAATGCTAACGCCAGGTCTACCTGATTTCCGCTCAAACCATCATTTCACAACAACAACACCACGACGATTATTTTACAATGCTCAGCATTTCCGCCACGTGTATTGCAAGCGGGCTGAATTCCTGGAATCTTCTAAACCAGAGCAGAGCCATAAGTTAGCACATAAGTTATAAATTAGCAAATTTTAGATTGTTTAAGTAATTCTTGTTTTGACTTCGTTAATAAAAGGTCGTAAGACCAGAAATAAAAAATATTTTTTTTATTTAATACGAATACAGAATTCGTTAACTGGCGCCCAACGTGGGGCCTGCCTTCGCGTCGCGTAAAAGTTGTTAATCGAGTAAAAGTGAACCGTGAGTGATTTAACAAAAAAATCCCGTCGGAAGGACGATACTACTACTACTCATCTTGGCACTTCAAACGGACTGCGGAAGGCGAGGACACCTAAGAAAAAAGAGCAGGAAAAGAGGTCTCTAAGTAGCTCTAGCAAACAGGAAGCGCACGAGACGCTAGCCGCCTGCCCAGGACATGTTCCTGATAATAAAGTAAGACATAGTTTTAAGAAAGTGAAAAAAAAATCTAAGAAAATAATTGTAACAGAGCTTGATAAAAATTAAATGATTTAAAGAAGTAACTAATAAAAAATTTTAAAAATTTAAAGGAAAGTGTAAAAAAAGAAAACATTAAAGAAAATTCTAAACTTAAAAATAAAGTGAATAAATGAAATTGTTGAAACGGAAAAGTAGTAAAAAAGGAAATTAATAAAAAGTTTAAAAAAAAAA